AAAATAAATTTTTATAGCCATTAAAAATACTAATGACAGTAATCAAAAGGTACTGTGAATCACTTTTAAAGTAATACAGTGATGAAGAAGATTGACCAGTTATATGACTTCATCAGGAAATCAATTGTAGAAGTTTGTTGAGACATATTAGAAGCAGGTACAGGACTTGTGTTGCATGTTCCTTGCTGATCTGTTTGGTGCTCCACAACTCTCTGTGTATTTTAGGCAGGTGGCAGGCACAGGTGAGCTGACAGCTCTTCGCTGAGGCCCTGGAAGGCTATTTCTGAGCTGCGCACAAGTGACCTGAAAGAGGTTACCCAGTCTGACATTTTGGGACCATCACTAAGCTCATCAGCCTCATTAGTCTTCCCCCAGCCTCTTGTGAAGCTAGACGCATCAACTACCCTTACAGTTGCAGTGAACAGGCCATAAAAACGGCACCAGTTATTGCTTTTACACTGAGCCTCTGCTTTGTGCATGCTGCAGGGCCACAAACACCCAGGTGGGAAAGGCAGAACACACAACACGTGCCTCCCTCAACCGGGGATGAGCAGGGCATCAGTGTATCGAGACCTCTTGCTTGCCTAAGGGCCTGTTGGTAGGAGCTTGAAGGAGCTATGGGACTCTGCAGGCAGGTGGGATTGCTACTGGGGAGAGAAACTCAGACTTGAGTCCGAAGGAGGCTGTACTCCACAAGCAAAGTACCTGCCTGCCCTGCTGTAATGCTGCAACAATTCTGAGTGTACTGCTGAGGAGGCCCATGGGCCCTGCTGCATCATCTGTCTTTTGTGTCTTGTAACACAAAGCAGCCATGAGGAGTGGCAATGTCCTGTCCCTGCTGCAGCTATGTGCCCCTAGCCTTAAAAATCCTTGGGGAAAACTAATGGTAGGGAAGGTGTGCAGGCTGTTGTGCCCATGCTGCTGGGAGTGCAGGATGATGCTTACAGGGGCTCAATGCTGTGCATCTCTGAAGCTCTTGCTCCTGACGAACATACTTTACTGCAACCAGTTGCCTGCAGCAAGGTGTTTCATTTTGGGATGGTAACAACCTATCAAAGTCCAGAAAGGTATCCAGATTTTACCATGAAAACAGATAAGGCATTTCCAAGTCCCTGCATGAATATGAACTGCCAACAAATATTTCTTAGTGTGATACAACCATATTTTCAGTTTTGAACAGATTTTATGCTGAGGCTTCCTCTCAGTGGATTATTTTCCTTTGACTTTTCAAGTGCTTAAAGCCAGCTCATCTATCCTGGAGAGGTCTCTTGACAGAAGGAAGCACATACATTCATAAAGTGGCTCTTACATTGTTTTATTCTGACCTTGAAGGACTTGGTTTAGATCAATTTGTGGAGGGATCTTTAATCAAGTTGTTGAACTTTCCTATAGATGTCTAAACACTCCATGTTATGAATCCTAATTATGTTCTTTAAGGACTTGGATTTAATGCTATATTTGTTCAGAATATATTTATTCTAGAGTGACGTGAGTTAAAAAGAACTATATCTTCAATGAGGCTGTGGTTTGAGAGACACTTTTAGGAAAGAGTCAGATACTACCTGAAGGCCTGCTTCTGCTAGAAGACAAACTGGGAGCTGCCCAAATGAATAAGCATTCAAATAGGATCTTCATTTGGAAAACAAGGACTTAAAAAAATGTGTCAATTTGATGTCAGCCTCATTTTTTTTAGTCCTTGTTTTCCAAATACCCTATTACTATGGGTCTCCTCTTTCATGAATTATGAGTTCAGCAACCTTTTTTTCCTTTAGAGTTTTGGAGGGCAAACACGCCGCCTTTATAAGCATACCAAACTCTTCCTTAATCTCATCCTTTTTAAAAAGAATGGAGGTAAACAAAGCCATTCAAACAACAGAAAATAGCACACAACACTTCAAGAAATTTTTAGTGTTTTAAAGTAACTATTTTATCTTTCTTTTGGATGACACTGTTTATTTTAAGACATAATTTTTATTAAATACACTGTAATACAAGAGACTTTCCATGTCATGTTGAGAGAAGCTGATCACATGATTCACAAACAAAACTTTTAACACTGATACCTAGGCATCACTTTGAAATCAGCCAAGATGCAATGAAAGTTTTAAAGCAATGACTACTTGTAACAAACTGCAAAACAAGAACCACTAAATATTTCCACGGAGACATCACATTAAATTAAAAAAGGAAAAAATAAAGGAGAAAGAGAGCTCTACACACCAGGTCACAGTTTGGTGACAATATAGAGTTTTATATTTGTATGTAGATACCTTCCTCCTTAAGTGACAAAGAGAGTGATATCTAGAAATATATATACATAAAGTATAGGTGGAGAGCAGGGCTGGGACAAATATTTCATAATTAATTGATTCTCTCTCTATTGGTGATTCAATTAAACATCAATGTTGAATTAAATTACTTGTATATAAAACATTCTTAGCTGCTTTTCTTTAAGTTACAGAAAGATACATATAAGCTGCAAGAATTAGGCCTCTGGAAAGATTTGATTTATTCTGTTTTCTCACATATTCCAAACAATGGCCTCACTACAAGCAGCTTCTACAATCCTTGCTTGAAGTATTCACTGTTTATAAAACATCAGCCGGTTATCACTCAGAACCTTGTACAAGCAAACAAAAAATCCCCACAGACCTTGTCCAGAATGCATAGACGGTAAAATAACACACCCATCATTTCCCATTTCTTCTCCTGAGACATATGTTAAAAAGATGGCAGAATAGTCACTTGGTTACCTTTGTGAATTTCACAGTGTTTTCCCTGCAACATGTAGCTTTTTTTTTTTCCTTCACATTTGTGATGAATGTAGCACATCCCCCCATGCCACACAAATAAAGGTGTTTAAACTAAGGCTCTAAAGGACCTTTTATTCAAAGCAGCAGTGGTTCATCCCAGCCCTCACAATAAGAAAATACAAATTCCTGTGCTATCAAAACCTAGAAATCCTGACCTTGATTCCCAGTCCCTCCCCATTCCTCTCCCTCATGTTTTATAGCAGTATTTGAAATTTAGCAACAGGCTGCAACAACCCGGACGTGGACTTGTTCTTATATACGTGCATTATACCTTAGTCACCCAGTGATCTAATAATTTTATTAGGGTTATTTAATTTCTTTTTAAAGTGTTTTGTAAAAGTCTATATCAACCACAATCTCTTATAAAGGTGGAGAGGGTGCAGTGAGAGAAAGAGAGGGAAAGAGAGAGAAAGGAAAATATAAAAGAAGGAAAGAAGGAGAAAAGGAAGGTCAGAAAAAGAGAAAGAAGTAAAGAAAGTGATAAAGAAATAACAAGAAAGGACAAAAAAGGAAAGAAAAAGAGAAAACTAGGAAGCTACTTATTAAACTGTAGACACTATACAGATATATTGTTTTACAGGTCAAAACAAATACAGTCCTTTTAAAGAGGGTACAGTCCATCAGGCATCAGGGTGCTGTTGCTTTATCTGTTCTCCATGGTCACTTCTAAATTCTGTGGATCTACTGAGAGTGAAGGACAGAGTGCGCTGAATGCTACTGTTATTGATCCTGAACGTTGGTGTTCTTCTTCTACAAGTCATGCTGTAGTTTGAATAGTCCAGCTCATTTGTGGAATTTTGTTACTGCAGACAACTATAAAATGCTAATGGAGCTGCACTGTTATTCTAGGAAATAAAACAACAGTAGCACAAACCCAGAAATGACAGTAAAACAAACTTTGTTTTCTGAGTTTGGAAGCTTATCTGCTCGTTTCACTGTGAGAAATCAACAAGTGAGATGGGAATGGAAGAAACATTTTTATGCAATCATCTCGGGAAGAAAAGTGCTCGTTATTGGATCTCAGGCATTCTAACACTGCCTCTGCTGCTCACCAGTTAGAAAGCTGAATCTTACAAACATAGAAAAAGAAATATCAAAAGAAAAAAATTTGGTTACTCAGCAGACTTTATCAATTTATTAATAGCACTCTAATCATAATTTGTAATAACATAGGTGTATGTAAATTTATACATATACACACAGCCCATACATAATGTGCATGCATGTCTGCACATATATAAGTAAAATACAACAGACATAGGCATACATGTATATGCTATGTGTGTGTATATATATATGCCATATGCAAACACAGATATATTATATATATTTTATATATGATCAGTTCATAGCACAGTCCAGAAAGACTTTTTAAATGAGCCTGATTGTCATATTTACTGTGTACACGATTTACCTGACAGTGCAAGCATGATGAATATGCACATATACTCACCCTCCATTGAGATTTGAACATATTTCTTTTTCTTCTCTGCTCATTCTGCTAAATTTACCCACCTTTTCATGAACAAACGCAAACTATGTATAGCTACAGTTTATAGCTTTTTACTGTGATTATACATTTTATGCACTATCAAGAACATTAAGGATATAGGTCAAGGTTAACCATACTTGTGGCTCTGTAGAACATTTGGTCCTTTAGGAGTTTAACATACTGCTATGTTATTGCACAATGCTTTTTAATACTATTTATTCTCTGAAATGACTCTAAAATTCTCACTAGTAAATCAAAAAGAAGATGCCACTAAGTACATTTTCAGGGTTTTGTGGTTATTTTTGGTATACATTCTTTCAGTGCTTGTAAAACACACATGCTTGCTTTTGGGCTGGAGCCTGTTTTCCAGTAGAAGTATCATCTCAGATGCCTTTTTCTTCAGCTCATAAGAAACTATGACAGAATATGCAGGTAGAAACTTAGCAGCCCCCTCCACCACCTGCATCCTCCTCCCACTGCACAGTAAGAGAGTACTCTGGTATCTTTCTTTTCCATCACTGTTATTTTGAAAATAATTTTCAAATTCCTTTAAAACACAACATTCATATTCTCAAGAGAATGGGTTTCAGTGGGTGCTCAGTCTTTATCTAATTTTCTGTGAGAACTTCCAAGACAGTCTAGATAAAATCTTAAGGCCCATTTTGTAGGAATCTTCCTCTGGCTTTTTATGTGTTTCCAGTTCAGTAGTGTTAAGAAATAACATCTAGTTTATTAAAGAAATACTGAGTATGGCTTTATAGTTACACTGTCATGTTTATTTGTAATGCTGCCTTTTCAATGACATTGAGAAGGGTAAAACTTCATCAGTGTCCAGTGAACTGTTTTCTTCTGAAAATGTTCAGAATCTTTATAAGCTAGCTCTAAAAGCTTCTGAAGGAAAAACTTAAAGTGCCTCAATAAATAATACATGCAAGCAAATTATATATTAAATGTGCTATGGGAACACTTACAAAAATAAAATGCTTAATTTATTAAATAAAATATCCCCAACACGAAGATGAACTATTTTGATCTGGCTCATATCAATAAGAAATAATAAAAAGAGAAAATGGAAAGAAAGATCACTTTTTTGCAATAACGCCCCCTCACAGAGGGAGGCAAAAGTCTTGAGGAATAGGTAAGGTAGGTTTTCATTTGTAAGAATTTATATTAAAAATAATCCTAACTCTAAATTTCAAATTGTCAACTTCTAGTTTGAAAAACAACAAGTATGCCCATGCAGCTGTCATCAACACAGTGGCCATGCAAATGTTGTACATATACAATGCCAATCCAAACAAAAATAAATCATTTAAGAAAGTGTGGATGTTGGTTATGACAGCAATAGTACCAATACAAACATGGTGCTGAGCTCAGAATATTTGCACTCTGAATAGCAAGCCATAACCACAGAGTAATTTTTTTTTTCTAGAGATCTTTATCCCCTGCTATGTCTCAAACATAACCAGTGATCTCCGTGCTTTAGATTATTTATGTTATATCAGCCTATAGTATCTGTAACATTGTAAAGGCATTTTAACATGGCTAATGTCCACCATTAGCCCCTACTAATGAAATATCGAAATGAGTTTGCTATGCCTACTAGGGTGTACTACAAGATGAGTGATCATTTCTGCACAAAGGGCATTAATTGACAAAGACCATGCACAGTTTTAATTGCACGGTTAAAAAAAAGAAAGGGATTAAGGAAGGAAGGAATATGCTGCTGGACAAGCACAGTATAAGATACATCTGCCCCAGCATCTATAGCTCATCCTATCTTATCAAAATCCTTAGCTTCAGCATGTGATCATGAAATTAATACTGTATATCACTAAGTCTAGCTTCAGTCTTCACTAAAAAAGACTACCTGGAGAACATTTTTACACCAGTGGCATGACATTATCTTAGCAGAAGACAAAATAAGGGCATGTGTTTAGTTTATCGTGTTGTAACACAACTGTGTGCAGTGCAGGCAGCATCTTTTTTCATTTTACTTGATTCTGGCAATGAATGGTGCTGGCAAAGCACCTCCTTAAACAATCCTTTCAGTCCTCAGAAGGACTCTTCAAGGAAATTGCTAGATCCCCTCTTGCCTTCCATCAAATAATTTCAGTGTTTTCTTGTAGTGTTGGATGCCACCTGATTCTCAAGTTCCTCCAGACAGTGTATCACACAAGAATGTCTTCTTTCCATCTGGCTTTATCTCTGCAAAGAACATTCTTCATGTAGAGAACACCAGTCTTCTTTTTCCACCCACAGGTCAAAGCAAAAAAAATGAGGTGAGTCCATAGAAACTCCCAGTAGCTGTACTGCAGAAATCACAAAGTTTTAGTCAAATATATTTATCCCTTTTTTTCATCCACATCAAAGGCATGAATACAACAAGGCATTGTTAGTTGTGGTGGGCAAACTGAAGAGTCTGCTGATATAACAGATCAGGTTTTTAAGGCCTTTGTCTATGCAGAGTTACAAGAATGCAGAAGCCAAATTGATTAGAAAGACAGGAGAGAAGGAAAAAAAAGATAGAAACTGAGAGAGAGAGAAGATACATCTCAGTAATGTCTAAAAAGTCAATACTGTGTCTACAGATGGAGAAGTGCACATTGCTTGCCCTTTGAAAGCTTCTCCGCAACTTTGTCATTAATACTGTCAAAGTTAGGAACACATTTTAATGGAGTTCAGCGGCAGTTGAACACATTCATTCCTGCAGCCCAGAAGAAGAAATGCTAGGAGACTTTAGCCTAAAATATCCAAGTAGACTGGAGATGCCTTGGCCAAGTTCTGGAGGAGGGAATGGATTTCTTTGATGTTGAGCCTCATGTGAGGCTCCCGTTGCCAACAGCCCAGCATCAAGTCATACACTTCCTTTGGGCATGTGCGAGGTCGCTGCAGGACTCGGCCCTGAGTGATGCACTCAATCACCTACAAGAAATCACAAATCACGTGGAGTTCATCCATGCAAGAATTAACTTTAATCACTACAGCAGCCTCACTGGTGGTGGTCATAAAGCCTACTCTGTCCAGGGCTGCATTTCTAGGTGGATGCATGAGCAGCACTATGTGATCTGAAAAATTAACTGTAATGCAAGCGGTGAAGGAGCAATAACTTTTCCCAGATTTAGTTCACCCACGTTGTCCCTTTCACATATAAGGGAATGATTGCTAAAAATTAATCCCATACCTTCTCTCTGTATTCATCTATCAACCTCATCTCATCTCATCTCATCTCATCTCATCTCAGAAGGAGGCTAAATTTTCAACCTGCTCACACAGAGCATCAACGCCTCTCCTTCTCTCCCTCCCTTTTTAAACTTATAAGTATCATCATAGCTAATCTCTGGAAAGAGATTACTTTCCACTGCCTGGAAATCAACAGATATCTAGATTGCTTCAATCTACTCAAGAATGGTTATGGACAATGACTCTGCAACAATACCATGTATGATGCGACTGTTCAGGAGATAGCTAAGGTTCTTTTCATTGTCTCATGTCCTTTTCATGCCTTTCTCAATACCCAGATCAGACTCTATCCTGTACAAATGAAAAACCTTAATTCCAACTATTCTAGTTCTGCTTGGACACTCAGAAGAGAAAAGGGTGAAAAGGAAGAAATCCAACCACATGGTTCATATACAACAAATACCTGATAACAGTGTTTGCCTTTACTAAATGAATTTGTTTCTGTCCCTTCTCCAGAGAAGCAACACCAACAGTTACCACGACAGCTTTCCTAATGCAGTCTGAGAATGTATTACACACACCTCATTGTTTGAGAGCTGATACCATGGCTGTTTGCCGTAAGTAAAGATTTCCCATAATACAACACCCAGGCTCCAGACATCACTTTCTGTGGTGAATTTCCTGTACATTATACTCTCTGGAGGCATCCAACGAATGGGCAACATGGTGTGACCCCCAACCTGAAAAAAACAAATGAAAGAGTCAGAAGTAGTTCCATCAGAGCCTCACACGAAAGTGTCAAGACACTAAATAAGGAGGACCCATGGTTTCTTTTCTCACCATATGGTAACATTCCCTTCAAGGAGCTTTAAAGAACTGGGGATTCATGGTCCAAACTCCTATCTCCCAGCAACAAGTATTACCACAATAGGTTTCTCAAATTCTCAAAAGACGTTTCTGAAGTTCCAACTAATCTTTAATGTTTACTTGGCACATCCTACCCAAGGAACAGGAAGCTCTATATTACACTACCAACCTATTTTAAATTAGACTAGTTTTACTCTCCATTTTAAGCTCAAGAAACTAAAAAAGTTTCATTAAATGGAATTTACACTGCATAATTCCCCTAGAAACTCAGTGACATTGACTAAAATTCAGGAAAACACAGTGGTGTCACTGCATGACATGGTAGGACTGGATTTGCATGGTTTAATATCTTAATTTTGACTGAATAAAGCAATGCTATTTTATGTTGATAACTGCACAGTTAATGCATCAAATTACTTTGTTCCTCATCAATTACCCAGTACAATACAGCTTTTATGTTTTTTTTAAATAGTCCTTTGGATAGACTGCCTTGATAATAGACAATGTGTAAGACATGAACTCTACCCAAAATCAAGTCATGTTGATTCAACATGAGCTTCACCGGGACCTTCATCGAATGAAGGCCTTTATGAAAGCTCTGAGAACATTTTCAATTTTCCACAGAATGCTACATGTCCTTAAACTTAGGTTTCCCAACCTTAATGTAAATTTTAAAAAATTGCTTATTTCCAGCTCCTATAAAAGTTTATTGTTCCTGCTATGTACCATTCTGACTGGGTCACATCACTAAAGAAATCTGTTCAAGTTTTTTTAAAATAGTGTAACTGATGAGATATTCTGATATAGATATACAGATATGCTAATACTTTTCCATCATGACAGCTGAGAATATTTCCAAGGAAGATTAAAGAAAAAAAAAAAAGGAAAGCTTTTTCAAGGACATCTAACTTTGATAAACTTACTTTCCTTACTGAAAATGTATTTATTTATGAAACCATATTTGCACTTTCAGAATTCTGTCAATTCAAAATATCATTTCTCCTTGTAGGACATTCATTGTGTAAATAATGCCCTCCTTGTTCTCATGTTGAAATAGCAAATGGAAGGAAAACACAATGGAAGTTCAGTCAAGGTTCCCATTTTTTTTAAATCACACAGAACATCCATTTCCAGTTATTTGTCAATAATTCAGTGTTAGCACAGCATACTGAATACAGCTGTGAGAGCTCAACCCTGTCCTGTGTATGGTCACAAGTCCATGCTTACTACTGATTTCATAGAACCAGAAAGTCATGCTAAAATTTTCATAGACTTCATAGAATCACAGAATACTCTGAGTTGGAAGGGACACAAAAGGATCAGTGAGTCCAACCCTTAGCCCTGAACAGGACCATTCCCAAGAGTCACAGCATGTGCCCAAGAGTATCGTCCAAACACACCTTGAACTCTTCCAGTATTGGTGCTGTGACCACTTCCATGGGGAGCCTGTTCCAGTGCCCAGCCACCCTCTGGGTGGAGAACGTTTTTCTAATATCCAAACTAAATCTCCTCTGACACAACTTCAGGCCATTCCCTCAGGTCCTGTCACTGGTCACCACAGAGAGGAGATCAGTGCCTGTCCCTTCTCTTCCCCTCACAAGGAAATTGTAGACTGCAGTGAGGTCTCCCCTCAGTCTCCTCTTCTCCAGGCTGAACAGAATAAGTGCTTTCAGCTGCTCCTTTTATGTCTTCCCCTCAAGGCCCTTCACCATCTTCATTGTCCTCCTCTGGATGCTCTTTAAGACCTTAATATCTTTCTTCTATTGTGGTGCCCAAAACTGCACACAATATTCTAGGTGAGGCCACATCAGTGCAGAGCAGAGTGGGACAATTCCCTCCCTCAACCGGCTGGCGATGCTTTGCCTGATGCCCCCCAGGACACGGTTGGCCCTGCTGGCTACCAGGGCACTGCTGACTCATATTCAACTTGCCATCAACCAGGATCCCTGTCTGTAGGTACATCCAGGGTTTCCCCATTCCAGGGGCAGAATCCAGCTTTCCATCTGGTTGGTGATTGCCCAGTCCTCTAATTTGTTCAGGTCTCTCTGCAGGGCCTCCCTGCCTTTGAGGGAGTCACCAGCTCCTCCCAGTTTTGTGTCATCTGAAACCTTGTCTACTACCCTTTCCAGTTCTTTGTCCAAGTAATTTAGGAAGATGTTGAAGAGAACAAGGCCCAAGATGGAGCCCTGTGGAACCCTACTGGTGACAGGTCACCAGTTTGATGTTACCCCATTCACTGTTACCCTCTGTGCTTGACCCGTGAGCCAATTGTTCACCCACCACATGATGTGTTTATCCAGCTGTGTGCTGGGCATTTTGTCTGGAAGGATCCGGTGAGAGACAGTGTCGAAAGCTTTGCTGAAATCCAAAAAGATTATACCAACTGGCTTTCCTTGATCTAGACTCTTCTCCCTCTACATGAGATGTTGTATGAGTGATGGAGGAGTATTTTTTGAGAGGTTGCTGAATGAAAGGCAAGGCTTCTGATTTCAGTTCCTGGCTACATTGTGGATTTGCTTCTGACTCAATTCAGGTTGCTGTGCACAGGCTTCAGAGCCATTGAAAAAGGGACCCAGTTCCTATGCACTTCATAGGCAGAGAACAGATACACATTTTTAGGTACTTTTCTCAATTTGGCCCTTTTTTGTCTGTGTTATAGTTTATTTCTTTGGCAGACAGAGTGGCTGTAAGGCTCCTGTGCTTCAGTATTTTTCATCAACTTTGACTGAGATATCCCTCGATGTGGAGAGCTTGAATACACCAACACGCTGACATGCAAACAAACATTCA